CTACTTTAAAATGCATAATGTATGTCTGAATTGTCAATATAAATGAGTCAGATAAAATTAAATTATTAGAAGAATTTTTTCACTATGTAACAAAAAACAAAATTTGTTTAATTTACTGTTTGTATTTTGAGAACGATTTCCGAAGTGGAAATTGAAACGTCAATAAACGTATTTTTATCTTTAATTGTGGCTTATTCCCAGTTTAATAGTTATTAATTCATTAATTGAATATGACACCACAAAAAGAAACATGGATTAAAGCAAATATATTAAAATTGTAATCCTAAATATGTGAGACAGATGTAGTTGACAAACTGGAAGTACTACAGATAGAGAATGATTTTCATTCAATGTAAATTTAATAAAATTCACCAGAAGATAATCGAGCCACACGGACTATTATGTTTTAACTGGTTTTAAGTAATTTGTAGTATTTCCGAATTGTATATTAAATATTCGTGAAATTTATTTAAAATTAAATGTAAGAGCTTGGAATGAGGAACAAATCCCGGAAGAGAGGCGTATTGGAATTATTTGTCGGTTACAAAAAAAGAGTGATCAATCGAAATGCAGAAGCTGTAAGCGTATAATCCTTCTTATCACAGTATACAAAATGTTTTCGAGTATCTTATGTAGTCTCCTAATTGCATATTCCGAGGAGCTTCCAGGAGAATATTAAAGTGGTTTCAAATCTAGTCGATTAACAACGGACCAGATTTTTGTGCAGATACCTAACCAACGAATTCAATATCGACAACTACAATCTTTTCTTAGATGAAAATGTGATAGGTTCTACCTACGTGGTACGAAGTAAATTGTATGAAACCATGGACGAATTCTACTTTACCGAAAAACTAATAAGATTGGTAAGGGCTATAATGCGTAAAGTTGTTTGCAAAGCGGAATACAGGGTGTTAATCATAAGTGTTTGAAATACATCTCGGGTTATGACAGGGAGATGCATTGCCGTGCCTACTTTTCAACATAGTCCCAGAAAAGGCGGTTAGAGATGCCAGAATAAACAACACAGGAAATATTTTTAATAAACCCTCACAACTTATTTCCTATACACCGAGATCTATCTTATCCAAAACAAAACAAAAAAAAACTACAATTAACAAAATACTTTGGGAACACAATAACTTTTATTTGGTAGAAACTTGAAGGCCACTCATTGTTACTGTAAGAATATACCAACACTATAGTGTATATTTATGTATGAGAGAGTAATAAAACAATAAATTATGGATGCAAATCCCTAAACTGTTGATACGGGTGGACTCAATGAAAAACAGATATTTGTCAACAAGTTTACAGAAGTATATAGGAAAACAATTTTAAATTGAGTATGACCACCAGGTATAAAGGTTAAAGCAGAATAGGATACAATAGTTTTGAGGGTTACTAATCCCTAAATAAGGTTGCCAGTGTCGGAGTGATAGAGGTTAAACAGGTACTAATGAATTTGCAAGAAATGTAAGATGTTTATTTTATTGGTTATATATATAACCAATAAAAGTTTAATAAGTACCTACCTATTTGCAAAATAAAGTTTAATTCTTTAGATAAAATAAAACGTTTTATTTTATCTGAAATGAGTGCATTCCACGAAGTATGGGTTTCAACAATCAAACATTTAATTCTTTAATTCCAGGAATCTACGACAGTAATTGACTAGATAATTACCTTCTAAACTTATTCCACAGAAAATGTGATAGTGGGTTTTTCCATTTTGTAGGAAGGTCCAAGTGGCGTATTCAAAATTCTTAACAGTTCACTAAAAGTAGGTACTTCAGTTGCAAGGTGCAGTTTATTGTGTATACTAGTGTTATGGAAAATTTGGAAGTGCCGTGTAAACGCCGAAAAATTGGTTCTTTAACAGTTAATGAAAAAACATTAATATTTAATTGTTTTAAAACATTTACAGACAAACGTTTATGTGAAAGTGTTGATGAGACCGTTGAGTTAGTTAGCAGTACACTTGGTGTTGGGAAATCTACGATTTACAGAGTTATTAAAGAAGAGAAATGTGGTAGTTTTCAAATGCCACGTAATGCTCAAGGGAAACCAAAATTTCAAATAGAATATCATTTTAAAGAAGGACTTCGACGGAAAGTGCATGAATTCTTCTTTAGACAAGAATTTCCAACATTGGATAAAGTTCTTGTCTCAGTTCGAGATGATATGGATTACCCAGAAATGAGTCGAAGTACGTTATGGAAACTTTTAAAAGAAATAGGCTTCCGCTGGAAAAAGAATCCCAGAAAATCTATTTTATTAGAAACAAGCGATATTGTCATATGGAGAAGACATTTTCTAAGAACCATAAAGGAAATAAGAAACCAAAAAAGAAAAATATTTTATCTTGTTGAAACATGGATCAACGAGGGTCATACACCAAATAAATTTTGGCAGGATGAAACTGTTACAAGTCAAAGGCACGCTTTTGTAAATAACTATCTACTGGTTTAAACCCACCATCAGGAAAGGGACGCAGGCTGATAATAGTACACATTGGCAGTTCAGACGTTTTGTTGAAGGTGGTTTATTAACTTTTGAATCAACTCGTACCGGTGACTACCATGAAGACATGAACGCTGATGTCTTTCAAGAATGGTTCGAACAAATGATAGATCTTCTTCCTAAGAACTGTGTAATAGTAATGGATAATGCAAGTTATCACTCCAGACTTATAGAAGGACTGCCCACAACCAAGTGGTTAAAAAAAGACTTGCAGAATTGGCTGAGTTCAAAAAATATTACGTACCATCCCGGATCTATAAGAAAGGAACTTTATTCGTTGTGTGCCCTTCATAAAGAAAAATTTAAAAAATACGAAATTGATGAAATTGCCAAAAATCGTGGAATGACAGTACTTAGATCCCCACCATATCATTGTGAATTAAACCCGATTGAACTGGTATGGGCACAGATAAAGAGTGAAGTTTCAAGAAAAAATACCACTTTTAAAATTCATGATGTTAAACAGTTGTTTTTGGAGGCCGTAAATAATGTAAAACCTGAAAACTGGGAAAAGGTAGTAAATCACACTATTAAAGAAGAGGAAAAAATGTGGAAGCTGGACAATATTACTGATAAAATGATCGAGACAGTTATTATAAATCTTGGTTCTGAAAGTTCATCTTCTGAATCTGATTTGGATTTGTAACAAGTAGCTATAAGTTTTATATTAATACTTTTATTCATCTATTTAACATACCTTAGACGGCTTTAAAAACTCTTTTTCTCTTTTGTAAGTTTTAAAAATTAAAAAAAATGTGAATTTTTTAAAACCCTTTTTAATGTAAGCCAGTCAGTTCTAATATAGTGTGTGATAAAAGAGGTCACTTTTGTTTACATACACATAACACTTTATAACACTGAAATAATTCATTTATTTTTTACAATTATTCAAAGTAATTTTTCAATTAATCTTGAGCACGCCCATGGAGTGGTCGGAGATACCAGTTAAAATTATGCTAATTACTCTCTCGTTCATAAAAATAAACTATAATCAGTTTACAGCTGGTCAGAGCCACATAATCTATAATTAACTATAAAATAAAACAGAACCTCTGAAGGATCAGAATTTAATATCAATTTAGGGTATAAATGACACCTCTCAAAACTTTCAGCTTCAAAAGTATAGACATGGCTGATGCCTACAAGACCGAAGCTAAGGAAGTCAACTGTCAAATTTATAGTCTTCCCTACCACCAATTATAAACAAAAATTTTATAGGTTACAGATAAATATTTCACAATTTTATTTCAGAATTCAAAATATATTTCAGAATCGTTAAAAAGAAAATAAAAACGTAATAATCAATACAGCTACACATACAGACAGCTACACGCGTTGAGATTTGTAAGAAAAAAATTTCTTTAAAGAATTGTTAACTTATTGAAATGGGAATTGTAAGGGTGACCTAAAGGCAGTAACTGAAATTCATTTTAATGCCCAGTTGCACCAACAGACTGTAAATCAACTGATTTGCTAACCGTCAATTCGACGATTTAAATCAACGATCAATGGTTATTTTTCAAACGAGTTGCACCATTCTAAAAAACTACTGGTTTACAAACCGACAATTTATACGTGGCAACATTGCACGAGTACAGATTATTTCGATAATTTCATTCGAATCGGAGTGTGATCTGTCAAAAATATTGTCAACAAAGAAAGTTTTGTAAGGTTATGCCATCGAGTTAGGGTTATGCCAATTAAATAAAATTGAACATTAAACTATTATCATAACATTGTCAAAGACCAAGGTTAGTAAAAGGGTTAGAAAAAGGTCTATTTTTAATGACCTTGGTCAAAGACCGTTTACACCATGGTCTTTGAACATTGTTTTATTGCAATTTTGTGTGTGTGTGTGTAGTGTTACTAAGATGGAAAATAAAGGAAGCTACTTCTCTAGTTTAGAGAAAGATATAATTTTAGATCTAGCAATTAAATATAAATTTATTATAGAAAATAAACATTCTAAAAGGACCAACACTGTTTTCTTGCTTACTCGATATTTGAAAATAATTAACTTCATTATATTTATTATACAAGCATTGCGATCTCTTACATATCTTATATTTGGTAACATATGCATTATATTTTCCAAATCGTCAGAAGATGAACTCAACGATGACGATGATGATAAATCCATTTTTTTAATTACAATCTATAATACTTTAAATAAAATCTTTGCTAAAAACACTTTAATAATATAAACAGTGTAAAAGTGAGGTTAAAAACAGTCGATTTTTTAAATAACCGTAGCAAATCGGTTGGTTACTTTTGACAGATCAAAAACAGTCGGTTCCAATCGAGTAATGGTTGGTGCAACACATTCTAAAATAAACGGGCAATCCAAATCAAAAAATCAATCGTTTATTTGTTGGTGCAACTGGACATAAGTTATTTTTTGGTTAACTATGCTTTACATAACAAGATGAATCCTGCTCAAAACCTGTATATCACTAATACTAATATAAAATACTTACCCTAGTTCCATCACTAACTGAGAAAAATCCATATTTTCTAAATTATCTAAAGTCTCTAGTAAATCGGATGGATCAATTCCCAAAGTGGCCTCCGGACCGTCAGGATCCATCGCAGTACCGTTGTGGTTATGATTATCATCCATATGATTATGTACCGAAGTAGGGTACATAGGTTCAGTCGATTTAGTGCCAGCGGAATTTGGAGTAAGAGGATCATTAGCGGCACTGGGCGGCAGTTCCCCGTTTTTAATTAATATTTCTAAAACGTCGTCAACTATCTGACTTTTTATATGATTCTTTTTATTCATTTGTTTTGTAGCTTCGCTATACTGAGGTGGAGGGGGCTTAATTTCATCCGCGAACTCTATCTTTACTTCTTTCGGTATTCTTTGGTCTTCTATGTATTCAGCTTTTATTTCTTTTATGTCAGGTGTAGCTATTATTGGAGTTATGATGGGATTCAGTACATTTGGAGATGAAGTGCTTCTGTTGTGCCCGTTGAGAATCTTCGCTTTGTTTTGCATTAGTTGGTTGAACATGAGAGCTGCCTCAGCACTGTTTAAAATTAATCCACCAGTTATATTTTTCTGATTTTGGAAGTTAATTTGTTGCTGCTGCTGTTGTTGTTGCTGCTGCTGCTGTTGTTGTAACCTAAAAAGAATAAAGGTTTTTGATTACAATGAAAGTAAAACTGAATGGTAATCGCATTTTGACATATCATGAATCTAACCTAAAACTAATAGACCAATTAAAAGAAAAATATATAAATGTTTTCTAAGAAACGATCAGAATGAGTATAATCAATGCGATCAAAAAAACCGATACGAAACCGCAAAATAATAAAAACATAATATAATAAAATAAGTAACATATATTATGATAACAGAGAACAGAGGATAAGGATAATTTACTAGAATATAAGGAACTAAATATGGCAATAAAAAAATAATAATAGAGAAGATATTAGGACGACAATATCGAGAAGATAGAGAATATTACAGAGAAAAACAAGAGCATGCAAGTGTTAAAACCTCTAAATATCAAAGATCGACCACAAATAATCGGTAAAAGACAAAAATGGACTCACTTTAAACTAGAAAAATCAGATAATAAATGTCGAAGAATACTATAATATACAGAATTATACTCGTCCATCGTATGAAAACTCAAAAACAAAAATAACTAAAAATATTAAATGTATTATGGCTCCAAACTACTTTGGATGCTTCCTAATTATCAAGTGCCTCTTTGAAAGTGCTATTCCAAGCTCTTGGCAAAATGCGTAAGTACTTTTACTACACAAAAAGGAGACAAAAAGAAACTCAACATACTACAGAATAATAAGCCTATCACCAGATCCGTACAACCTGCTTACCAAAATAATTACCAATAAACTATCAAATAAGTTTGAAGTTACCAGTCTGTTGAACAAGCGGAATTCCGCAGAGGTTATAGTAGCATAAAACACCTACAAACAATATTTATTTCATTTGGAAGTTGTGGATTACGATAAGACATTCGATTCCATAGAACTCTCTGGACCGTATTAGAAGGAATGAATAACGCAAGGATTTATTCCAGATTTAGAATACTCCTAAAATATATATACAGTAATGTAACTATGCAAATAAATGAGGAAAAGAAACTTAAACGAGAATCTGGAAAAGTGATGACAAATAAAAATATAATAGACTAAAGCATCGACGAGTCCCATAGTCCTGCTATAAATATTATTACAAGTGTAAATGCGGCTTGTGCGGCTCACAAACTGAACGCAGCCAGTTATGTTGACATTACCGACTGTTGACATGTACACTATAAACACGCCAAAACATTCCAGTCTGCTTTGGGCCGTTACGATAGAGCTGACAGACAAAGAGAAAAAAAAAATAGCCTGGAAAAAAATTTCAACAAGCAAAACGATATAGTTTATGCAAGGTCATCCAAGGAAAGTTAGTGCCAAGGATCAAACGAGGACATTTTTTTGCCTCAGTGATGGTTTGATGGAGAGTCTCCTATGATGACGTCACTTCTTTAAATCATTGTGAAATGCCGTTAAAAAGCGGTAAGAAATTATCAGCGGGAAATTTTAACAAATTTAGTGAAGCTTCTAAACCACGCATGTTTCAAAATAGACCATGGATATCCCAACAAGACTCTGCACCTGCACATAAGGCGAAAACAACTCTACAGTGGCTTGAAAATCATATATCCCCAAAATCGAGAGTCATTGAAACACACTCTGATAGAAGTTGTGGACAATGTGCCCGTGGATGTCGCCGTACAACGATCGGTGCATGGCCTAACAGACTTCGGCGCTGTAGTCAAGCAATAGCGGCCATTTTGAATATTTTTTGTACTATATTAGTAATAAACTGTACAAAAATTTTTCAAATCACGATCAAACTGGACAAATAGAATAAACGGCAGAGATCACTAGAAGCATCGAATGACTTGGGCAGCAGTAGGCAAACTCAGTGTTGTGTTGGTGTCAACGGTAAAAGTGGGGAGAAACTGGTATCAAAGAAGAACACTCGACACTCAACACTAAGGAGTAGCAGACTGAGACCTCAGCGTGCCGTTTGATGGTTCTTGCAAAGTTCTACAGAACAAGATACTGGTACGTCACGAGTGAGGACAGTAGGCAGATTGGGACCCCGAACTCTAACGGAACCATATTCCTCTTGATAATGGCTCCAAAATTGGTGCCGAAACATCGAGTTTTAAATTCTCAACGCGGTTCTTTCCGAGAACTTAGTAATTTCCATTTATCTCCATAGATTTTCTTAATAACTTTATGCTAATTGTCCCAATCGACCACCCAACCAGCATTAAAATCTAGTTAGATTGCAACTTATGGGTTGAGACTGATAAATTTATCCCATATAACATATACTTTGCATTGTTTGTACTTCCATAAGCGTCCATGTAAAGCCGAAGATCACAACTCAGAAACAATATCTCTGATTTCAATAAAACTTCGTAAACAGGACGCTAAAACTAAATCCAAACGATTTTAAAACTCTAGGGTTAATACGGTGGGTATGTGGTTAGAGGTCAATAAATTTAGTATTGTTAAACCACAGCATGTGACTTAAATAATTGACGCAATTGATAAGCAATTGACGAGAAAGAAAAATACAAACAACAGTATAAACAGAAACAACAACAGAAACCGCAAAAACAAAGAAAACCACTTCAAAACGACAGTAAAAAAATAATTAATTTCACATTACGTTGTAAATCGGCCCCCGGGCCTGATGTTAAAATATGGATTTATTCATCGAGAAAAAACAAATAGAAGACTAAAAGTAGATACATACCTTTGCTGTTCTTCATTCGCAGCTTGTCTGGACTGCAACGCTTGCAACTGCTTCATCTGCAAAACGAAATTTTGTTGCTGCTGCTGTTGTTGCTGCTGTTGTTGCTGCTGCTGTTGTTGTTGCTGCTGTTGTTGCTGCTGCTGTTGTTGTAATCTTTGCTGTTGTTGTTGCTGTCTCGCTTGCAGGTGTTTCTGAAGAGCGATCATCTGAGCTTTCGGCTCCGATCTAGTTGCAGCTTGTAGTTTTAGCTGAGACAACGTTAGCTCTCGTTGTAGTTCTTCAATTTGTCTTTGTTGTTCTCTAACTATATCCTCGTGTTCCTGTAAATTCAATAATGTGTGATGTAAGAATATTTTAATGTAATCATTTTTTTAATACTTATAAATAATAGGCGTAAACTATAAAAATTATTAAGCAAAGTCCAATGAATGTCTTGCAACTTGCAACCTACTACTTTGCTATTAAGGTAAATAAATCAGGATTGCTAGGAAGACTATTACTTACATTAGATTTTTGCTGAGCAGCTTCTTGACTCTGATGAATTTTGTATTGTATGTATTGTTCCTGCATGGGTTGAGGAGCTGGACTCGTCGGATCCAAATCCATCTGCTCGGGTTTCTCATCTTTAAGACTGTCTTGTGGAGAATCTATATTCTGATAAATGGGGGAATTATGTGCTTGATCCATACTCGCATTACTGTGGATAGATGAGTCTATAGATGGGGGATTGTGGTTAATAATATCATTAGAAGTAGTGAAGGGTTTAAGTCTTTCAATAAGTTGTGGCTTAGAGCCTGAAACCGGCAGGCTACGGCGCTTTAATTCGGCTTTTAAATCACTAACTTTCATATCTTCTAATCTACCAGTTATTCTAGAGGGCGTCGAAGATTCTGAAGATGTGGAAGGAGAAGGTGACGGCTGTTGGATATTAATATTATTATTACTATTACTACTACTATCTGAAGAAATTGACTTTTGTGAAGCCGGCAAGATAATTTGTGGATATTTGTGCTGCAACTGCAATTGAAATTGTAGAAGCAACGTTTGTTGTTTTAGTAATAAGTCATATGAACTTTCTTCTTGGGATGAACTCGAATTGGAATTTTTCTGAGCATTAGGTGGTCCTTTATATTCATGGAATTTAATAGTGCGGGTTTTTGGCATTGATTTCGTTTTGGACTTTTTCCTATTTTTATCCTTAACGGAATCACTTCTTACCGGCGATTGCACTGTACGAGTTATTAAGGAAATGGGCGGCGGAGGAGGGGGAGCAGGTGTTGCAGGTTGTGACATAATTGGACTCGCAACACTGGAAAGGGGGCTTAAGGTTGAGGTGGAAGACACTAAGGAGGCAGGGGAAGAGGCGGATGCCTGAGATAGGAGCGGCGCTGCCACTGATCTACACAGATCCGCGAATATAACGTCATTGTCTTTTTTCAATATGGGGCTCGACGAAGTTACAACCACAGTCTCCGTTGGTTGTAAAAGGGACACAACTATTCCGGCGGATTTCGCTGCTGTTTCCAGGACATCCGAAGGACCCGGACTAACTCTGTTATCACCTTCAGAACTTTGAGAATCTTCTTCGGGATTAACATAGTTGGAAGGTAGTTGTGGCCTGTGAAGCTGACCTTCACTGGTAGCCTTATATGATATTCTACCAGTTTTTACAGCCTCTTCTATTGGTTCCTCAGTATGAAGAATATTCTTTTGAATAAGTTCCAATGGTCCGGGCCTGAAAAAAATTAATGTGTTTTATATACTTTTATTAGGTAAAAATGTAGAAATAGCGAAGACAAATACATCGCATATACCTATTTTTGCTATTTTTTCTTTATTTCGAAATTGGTTTCTATACTTAAAAATCAAGATAATATGATGTTAGCTAAGCAATATGAGATTAAATTAACTATATACTGAGGTAAAAACAAAATTATTTCAGTTGATTATTTTAACATTTTTCTAATATTTATCTGAGTTTGCAGATGTATCTTTGATTGTATGCCAATTTCTCTTTTAATTCCTGATATCAATAAATATTCTTGATTGTCGTTCATTTGTTGAACCGTGCTTAGCAAATATTTAATGTACTTTGCAGCTATGTCTACTAAATTTGTAATATTGTTTTGAGTCACGTTTCCCAACTTTATTGGAACTTTTATTAAGTATTTATGAGATTTGTATCGCTTTTGCTTAAATATATTACCTGTGTGATAATTGATCATTAAGATGGTCAGCTAGCTTGGCCTTCTTTAACATTCTCTGACGTTCTGCTAAGCTTGGGTCCACATGGCTTGGATCTACTTCCAGAATGTGACGTCTTTCTAACTCCTGTCGAGGAGGCCTCTGTTGAATCTTCGCCTTCAACATATCACCAGTCTTAGCCCTCTCCAATTGACGCCTCTGGCCATGATAGGCAGCAGGTGTTTTGTGAGCTAAAAAAATATGTATATAATTGATATGAGGTTGAATGCTCGAATAATAAGTATATATTATATTGCTATAAAAATTTGTTTTTGAATGCATGACTACTGCAATCCGCGTCCAGCCATATGACAAAGCAATAAATAATCAATTGTTTAATGACGAAAGGCTCGATCTTGAAAGTAAAGAAGACGTGATAGGACCTTCATAACTATAAACGAAATTGAAACAGCAACGAGATTAGCAAAGACCATAAAAGCGGCGGGACCGGATGAAGTACCGAGTGAAATAATTAAGCTCTTAGAAAGTTCTCTCCTTTATATTTTTGAGTTGCTATCAACAAGTCCTCGTAGACACTTTGTCTCAGGACCAAGTAACCTCATGTAGAGTCGCACGTTGCCATGTTACCAATTCCACTGGTAACTTAAACATCCTAACTTTTAAGAACATATCGTCGGCTTACAAGCGAAACACACTAAGTCAAAAAATGTAGTTTTGAGATAATCGTGTTTTAAATTTTTTTAAAAAACAGTTTGATCAATTTTCACATTTAACACTTTTATTTGTTGTTTTGTAATTATACGAAAGTTTTCATAAAGGAATTAATAATGATTACTGACGAGAAGAAGTAAATTATATATTACCAAATTATTAATTTTTGTTTAATTTTTGATTTGAATACGTTGACTTAATGTTTTTTACCTGTAGCATTTAAATTAGTGTTTTTTACTTGTTTAATTTTGCTATGGAAAGTATGACTTACGTGTATTTTTTTTATTTACTTACTGTCATACGATTATTGCAGACTTCGTTTACATTATAAATAATACAATTATTTATAATACAATAATAATACAATATAAGTTTTTAATTTTTTCATGTATATTTTCACAAACAAGAACATTATTAAAAAAACAGGTATAACAAAACAAAACGTGTATAACAAAAAAAAATGCTTCTAATTTTCAAAGTCTTCTTCGTCAGAGTCCTTTTCAGCTGACTCCGCTGTTTGGTCTCGAACAGAAGAGGAACTTGGTAGATTTTTGAATCAGGTATGGAGCGCTTGCGGAACTATATTTTTTTCACAGAGCTTTATCAAATCTTTTGTCTTGCATCCGAAATTGGAAGCTGTTTAGAATATAATTGAGGAATAACCAAATTTTCATCACTATTATCCTCTTTGACTGTTCTGTTAGAAGCACGACGTACAAAACTAACGTTAATATTTTCATATTCGTCGCGAAAATTATACTTCTACTGTAGAATGTTAGGAAATGTTTCTCATACTTAAAACACTTTACCTTTAACCAGTTGACCGCTTGCCCTTTTTGATCCTCTTTCTTATTAACAATAGCATATTGTGCAAGTTTTTTCAAATCCAAGAATTCGTTATAATTAACTTCACGAGTATTATAGGAAGATTTTTTATTCCCATTGTTGCCCATCTCTGGCCGTTTTTAAAGACATTTTCATATTCGTGAACACTAAAAAATCTCCACATTTTTTTTGGCACTTCAATAGCGCTATGCATGGGATCTACTTCCATATAGGAGTGTCCACTGTCCATGAACTTTTGCTCAATTATCCGAAGACTCGGATGGTTTTTAACAATATGTAAAAGCAGAGCAGATACTTGAATATTTTTGTTCTGTCCTCCACACGTATCTGAAAAATCGTTAGTAGTTCTATATCAGATAATGAATTAATGTATATATCCTAGACAAGTACCAATTTCACATCTTCCACGCTTACCATTGACTTCGGTCCAAAAATAACAAAATGCCTCATTTGGTGGAGCAGATTCCTAAATTGTAAAATTATAGAGGTTCAGCTTTTTTTTTTTCGATACTTCTTTGTCTGAATTTTTTTCTTTCATTGCAGCCTCTTTTCTGTCTAAATGACTCCTATAATTAAGTTCCATCGCTTCTTTTCCTTGTTGCGATGCTTTTGTGTATTCCTTACAGGTCAAACATTGGTCTTTCTTAGGTTTGAAAAATGATATATTAAATTTCTTGCAAAAGATTCGCTTATAGGTTATCTAACTTAAGCTTTTCAAATTGTCCTCTTTACACTTTTTAACGAACAGGTCGTGCATTTTTTTAATATTAAGATTGCAATCTAAATAAAGTCTTTTCGAAGACTTTCTAGTGTAGTGGCTTTCTACATCAGAAAGCTTTCAATGTGTTTTTTTGCTCTTATTCTTGCTTCCACTGAAGTTTTATTGCAGGAATCCTACGGCCCCTTCTGTCTATTCCACTATATTCGCCGCTTACATTTTGCTCTTTAAAGGCATTAATTATAAACCTATTAGAAATAAAAAATGTTTTACAAAAAAATTTCTGACACACTTGACTTTTCTTTCCCATATTTGTGAAAAATAGGATTTTGCGTTGGATCGCATTTTGCTATTTTCTCCTTTTCTAGGCCTGCGACTCTTTACCTTATTAGAAAGCATATTCAATAATATAAAATCTTTCTGTCTTTGAAATGACAACATCGCATAAGTTTGACATAGCAACTTCCGGTTCTCTTCAGAAAAGTTGATGGTCTTGGGATGTTGACCACACAGATGGTCTTGGGGTGTTCCATCGGCTTCTTTTAGGTCCTACTTGACTATTTTCATTTGAATTTGTTTTTTCCTCGTCTGCTGTAGAGTTTCCTTCGCTGGTATCTAAATTATCACTTTCATTACCTGCAGGAATATAGTCGCTATCCTCCATACATTCATCAGAATCCTGGTCACTTATTTGAGGAGGACCTGACTAAATATATTAACAAAAATTATCAGAATTTAGGCTCACGTCTTTGTTTATTGCTGTAGGTAGTTCGACAGAAAATTTTATTTTTCTTACAGAAATTAATTATAAAATACAAACAAAATTCAAAACTGTTAACGACCTAATCACGCAAAATACTGGAATAAAACTGACAAAACCTATGCAATATACCCAAACAAATAATTAATTTTTTAAAAAGATTGGACAAGTTGCTCTGCGTAAGTCAGTCGGTAGGTTCATTCGTAGTCAAGTGAAATACATTAAGTCACTATAGTGTGTTTTGCCTGAATCATAATATATAGTTTTTGAGACTTAGTGAGAAACATGATAATTATTAAAAATAACCGTTTTTGTTATTGTATGACTTAGTGAGTTTAATCAGTCTAAAGAGTAAAAAAAATACAATAAAATGCTGCAAATAACTCAAAAGTGAAAAAAATTAACTTAGTGTGTTTCGCTTGTAAGCCGACGATATAATGTAACGGAAATTTAAACTAACAACATGTAACAGGTTTTTACCCAAAATATTTTAGTGACTCAAAACCATCATCAGTAGCTGATGATGGAATATACATTTGAAAACGTTCTGTAATTCTGATATAGCTCGTTTGGGTATTTTATTATATACCTTTTATAAAGGATTTTAAATGAAAAAAATTGTGATACATAGTATACAGCCAGCCACAGGAACTTAGTTTCCTAGTGGACTTCTTCTACTTGACATTCATGACAATTTCATTGTATATTCTTACATTATTCCATATTCTTTCACCTAAATTTGCATCTAGCTTTTTCTCATCTGTCATTATCTTAGGTGCTCTACAAATATATATTTCTTCATGTTCTTTTATATGTTAGTACTTTCTTCTACAATGGACTTGTAAACATAATTCATATACATATATCTTCATTTTTATCATATTCATATATCACATACTTTCTTTATTAATCTCGTCTCATATTCATATTATATCACTTATATATCTTTAATTTTTTCATTTTCCGCACATCTCAATCCTAAATACTGCTTTGATCCATATGCACAACCCTTAGCATGATATGGTTAACTCAAAAGATCATAACGACAAATGTGTATGCGTTTTTAATTCTTCTTCTATAATCCTCATGACCCCTAATCCTGTTTTGATCCATATTCTTGTCAATCTGTAAGCTTTCAAGCTTTTATAAATTATATTTGTACCTTTCTTCTTGTGACAGGAGAATTGGGTTTCTGACTACGTTTAATTGTCTACATTTGTTTTATAATTCAACCTTCCATTATCCTTTTTCCTCTTTCCACTTATTTCACTATCCAATTTCTTTATTCCATCTTCCATCCTGATATCTTTCGTTATGCCCAGCCCATTTCCATTTTAATTTCGATGCATGTTCCACAGCATCTGTTGTTTCGGTTTTGCTTACTTAGCAGGAACAGCCGGCAAATTCTATTCACTTTATGCATTTTGAGCAAAAAAAAAACGGTTCTCAATCAGCTACACGAAATTTAAAATTCAACTGACACCGTAAATTCACAAAAACTTTACCACCAAACCAAACCAAACCAAATAATTCACGCAGTCACCGCAAAAACTTACAGATCAGATCAGATCAGAAAACGATAAGATTTCAAAAAGACTTTATAGTAGGAAGTAAAACAATAGCATGTGTGGTTTTACATTATTATTTTTGTTAGTAAAGTTTTGATCCAAGATAAAAATCTGAGAGACGACCAAGACATATGCTTGAAGTTGAATTTTGTTTATTTTAGGACTAAACGCAAGTTTTGTAAAAGTTAAAATTATAAAAAATTAATTTTTTTTGAGCAATGATACATAAAAAAAATGCATGTTTTAATTTTCCATTTTCGTGTTGAAAATATTGTTGATCTTGTTCTACTGTTATTACATATTCCAGTTATTGTAAACAAACAAGAGAACTAGTGACATCTGCCACGTTATATACTTGAGAGAAAACAAAATACAGGCACACAGCAGAAAAGGAAACTGTATTTTTGCCCAAATTCTGTAATATTATCATCACATCAAAATGAAGACAATGCTACGAAAAACCTACAAATGAGGCCAAATCCAAACACATAACCTTCACAATGAAAAGGGACAGCTGCTCAGCGAGCACAATGAGTAGTATACAGATTTAACAAACCAATGACGTGAAGTACCTTGTTATGCGTTTAGATGGACGTATGAAGTGGAGAACACATATCTTTACAAAACGTAAACAATTGGGATTAAAACTTCACCTGGCTGATTGGCAGGAAATCCAAACTAAAATTAGAAAATAAACTCTTCTTCTTCCTATTTTATAAATAGGCTAAATGCCTGTTTTACTTCGGTTTTTAGCCTCAATTGACGTTGTCTGACCATCTTTACCTCGGTCGTCCAATGATCTTCTTCCAATTGGCGATTTGTCTCTTGTTATTCGTACTATTCTATTTTGTCATTTCTTTCGATGTGTTGATTCCATTCCACTTTTCTTCTTTTGGTCCACGCGTTTATTTCCTCTATACCACATCTCGCTCGTATTTCCTCACTTCTTACTCTGTCTCTAAGAGTTTGGTTTCTTATTTTCGTAAGACTTTCATTTCTGTTGTTTTCAGCAGTCTTTGTGTTTTTCGTCGTATCTGCTCTTGTTTCCGCTGTGTACGTTATTATCGGTTTTATTGTTGATTTATATATATCCTGGTTTTCGTTTCTGTTGTGAGGTATTTGTTTCTCCAGATTGTGTTGTTGAGACATCCTGTTGCTCTGTTGCCATGTTCACTTGTTTTTGTACTTCTTCTTCCACTTTTCCGAATCTTAACAGTTTTATTCCCAAGTATTCAGTTTCCATCACTTGTTCTATTATTTTGTTATTTACGACTAGTTTACATCGTCTCGGTTCCGCTGATATCACTATCGTTTAGTTTTCTCTGTTGAGATCACCATGTTGTATATGAGCGCCATATCTTCGAATTCTTTAATTAATCTTTGTAGGTCATCTTCATTTTCGGCTGTTATTATGGCGTCGTCGGCGTAGCATATTATCCTTATTTCCTTTTCTCCCATTCTATATCCTCTTATTTTTTAACTTTATTACGATTTCATCAATTATCAGATTAAATATTAATAGGCTCAGCGAATCTCCTTGTCTAATGCCAGTTTCATATTTGATAGGTTGCGATAGTTTTCCTTTACATCTTACCATAGCTATGTTATCTTTCTATATATTCTCAATGGTGTTTACTAAATCCAGTGATATTCCCATAGTGATTTCCATATAATAAATGCATCGCATCCCGAATTCTCACTCTATTAAACGCTTTCTTCAAATCTATCAGACACATATATGCTGGTTTGTTGTATTCCAGCGACTTTTCTTTTATTTGTCTTATTACAAAAACTGCATCCGAGTATGATCTTCCTGTCCGAAATCCTTGCTGTTCCTCTTGCAGAGATATTCGTTCGTTTATTTTGTCGCTATTATTGAAAATAAACTCCTAATCTACAAATCAATCCAACGCCAGTATCGACATACGGAATATAACTCAGGGGTGCCGCTAGCAACACAAACCTTGAAATCATATTTCCTAAACCAGATTTCATAATAAGATCTTGCGCCGTGGTACGTGCCCAATCATCTAATCGAAAACTTATCCAAAAATATTATCCGTAAAACCAGAAATAACACGTTACAGCGTAAAACACAAACATAAAGCCAGTGATCACGGTAATGTGTTGTGCGTGAACTACGAGTATACGAAACCACAGGTAAAGTACGTCGCTTAAAACGATTCAAATCAACGAACCTGAGTAACAGATTTAATTAAATAATAATAATATGTTCAATAATAGTATAATAAACTAATATTAAAATATTCTCTCTCTGGAAAAAATTCCTACATGTCCTTAACAACATTCGTCAAAAAATTTTACCTATTGTTCTTATGCTAAGAACAGAATGTAAACAAAGTGGAGACAACAAAAAATAATTTACGATATTTGTTAGATAAGGTGCCATAGACTACAGTTTCAATAGTAAATTTTTGCATCTTTTATCGTACTATAGATGAAACTCTTGAGAATGAAGATAATTTATCAGTACTATCGTAAAACTGAACAGTCAAACATAATGATTTAGCCTCCAAAATCATATTTTAAACAGGCATAGCATAAACTTTATGAACCATAAGGCATTTGAACAATAGATGACCTGTAATTAAACAGTATTAAGAGTATAATACATTATACTTACGGGGCATGATTCCTTGGGCCACCAGCTGATCAAAAGGTCTTCTCAGTAGCAATTTCACCTTGAGGGCTGTAACAAAAAATCCAAAATGAGCACTATAAGTAACACACATGTCCACCGCATAATCCAGAACTTGACCGTGACGAAAAAAGACACCCGAGAATTTCGGAGACCGAAAAACAGCGTGGGAAACAATTAACCAAAACATGCGGATTGTAAGATAATGCGTGGGGTGGAATCGCGAAGAGGCGGTTTCTCCGCCCCCGGAAGAGGTGCACAGTAGTTCCGACTATGACCTGCCGGTGCAAGAAGCATGAAAACGACTGGTGCGAATTGTGATTGTCTTGGAATAAGCGTGTGGTTTTTGTTTTGATAAATATAATTGGGCATGTGTCAATAGAGCAATGGCGTAGAAAATTATTTATATATGGGTTTGATCAGAAAAATTATTAATTTATTTTAAATATTGCTCTAAGTAATGTATAGGCCATCCTAAAAAACAAAGATTTTAATACACTGGCCGGCAAAAAAAGTTGCCACCCTATAATTTTCCGAAAATAAAAATTCATTGAAAGTTTTATGCGCTGTTTCATATTGTATACTCAACATCTTTTATTTTTAAAGCAAAAAATTACTGCTCGATTTCTTGGCATAATTTATTTAATTAGAAGACTACAAAAGAAAATAGTGTAATATCGAAATATCGAAACAGTAAACAAATTACAAACAGTAAAAATTATCAGTGAACTTGAACAAAATTGTCTAATATAGGGTATTATGCCCTTAAACATCAATAACCGTTTGCATACGATTTGGAGAGAAAGGAACAAATTTTGAATAAAATCTTGGGGAATACGTTCATATTCTTCACGAAGCATGTTTTGAAGTTCTGCAAGATTTTCTGGCTGGCCTGGTTGACTTTTAACCGTACGATGGTAAAGTTCATCCCAAATATGTTCGATGCTATTCAGATCAGGGCTGCAGGCTGGCCATTCTAGAGTATTAATTCGTACTTCCCCTAAGTAATTTTTCACGATTCTTGCAGTATGCTGCCGTTCTATATCATGTATAAAGACGAAATTGTCCACAATAAATGGACCAAACGGAACTGCTGTTTCATGGAACTACTGCTTCTGCGAAAACATTATTCATATATTAATGAGCATTCAGGGGGCCATTGATGAAAATAAATTCAGTTCGAACTTCAAATGAGATTCCAGCCAAAACCATGACACCACGACCACCAAATTTTCTTCTCTGGGAGATAAAACAAGCTTGGGCATATCTTTTATTTCTCCATCTCCAAATCCTCTCTCGTCCATCGCCAGACTTCAAACAGAATCGCGATTCATCAGTAAAGAGTTTCAATCTTGTATATCCCAATGTTGATGTCGAGCAAGAATTAATCGATTTCTACAGTATTTGGGTTGTAATTCGGGAACAATAGCCGACTTTCTTGCAATTAGTGCTCTAGCAGTTCTCTCACTTACATTCACATTTCGAACCTCCTGCCGAAAGTTTCATGCAGCATTCACAGTGGAATAGCGATTTATTAAAGGTTCCATCTATTAAAGTTTTAGGCAATTTTATCTGAATTAATAATTTGTCTGAGGAAAGAACTATTTCCAACTATTTCAAGAATACCGAGGAATAGCTGTAACCGGATCTATGGAAAAATTGTGAAAAATCGAATCGAGAAAGAGTATTTAGATTATGAAGGAGAAAAACAAGCAGGATTTCATACAGGATGATCCCCTATTGACAACATTTTCTCCTGAAACCAAATAATAGAAAAAGTATCACGGAATCAAGAAATTTATGTTGTTTGTCGACCTACGGAAACCCTACGATAGCATGCCCACTGTAGAATCTGTGGCAATCAATGAAAAGTACGAATATTTCTATAGAAATTTAATTATATAGAACGTCAAAGGGATTGAAACAAGGATGTTACCCTTCCAGACTTTATTTAAAATATACCTCGAAAGCACTTTAAAAAGATGGAAACAAAAATGTAGAACAATGGAGATACCACTCACCAAGAATATGATATATACGCTTATCTTTGAAGCAGACGATTAAGTAATATTGGCTCTATACTAAGGCGATTAAAACTATATGGGGTCTAGAAGTCAATACAACGATAACTGGATACTTGTGCATTGGAGAACAACAAAAATATCTCATATTATACGACAAAGCCACGATAAAACACTTCTACGACTACAAATATCTGGGTATCAATATTTCGCACGATAGAATATTAGACAAAGCACAATTACCACAAGAGAAAAGAAAGAAATACGAAAAGCAATCACAATGTTTAAAAGCATATTTTATGAGACCAATGCATCAGCAAAGAAAATAAAAATTATCTCTCTGTACACAGGTATGACCACTGAAATAAACGCATTAGAGAAATAATGAAAGTCAAACGGACGATCGCAGAAGACTTATCAAAAAAAAAAAATTCTCTGGTTTGGTCATATACAAATAACGGATGAATAACGAATACTAAAGGAAATACTCAAATGGCAACCAACAGGGCAAGAGAAAATGAGGAAGAACAAGAAAAATTTGGAGAGAAGGAATACTGAGAACGTTATAAACGGACATTAATAGCAATATTAATTGATATTTTTCTACATCTCATGATTTATGTCCTATGTGAGTAAGACATTATTTGTTCTCTCTTTTTTATGCCCCTACGACATTCATGACTATCCACCCGAGAATGTCTTGCTATTCTGCAATGTATCTCAAGTTTTCTATCTTCTTCGAATAATTCTTTTTCAATGTCCAACATGTAACACCATACACTGAGAAAATATACCATCCCACAAGGCACATTTTGAATTCTAAACTAAAAGCTGTATGCACAATGTTTATTTTATTTTTTCTAACTTTTCGATTTTGTCGGTATTAGAAATAATTTAAACGTTTCTTAAAAGCATTCGTACATTACCAGTAATACCAGAAATGTTAAATAACACAAATTAATACAATAGTCTCCGTCACTGACGCAATGGATCACGTATAAGACTGGTTCCGGTGATGGGCAGACGGAAACGACTGACCGCTAATGTTGTTGGTATATACAAATTATGTATTTAAAAAATATTTATTTAAAATAATCTATGCATAATCTTTTATTAAAAGAAATTCTTTCTTACTTTTTCAGAAAACAATTATTCTATGTTACATTTGGTTTATATTTGGCAGTATTATACAATCTTTTTTGTGACTTCCTCTTAGTTGTCTTCGGTTGCGGCGCGTACATTTATGAGACTGATATTACAAAACTTATACTACTTAAGATAACAGACTCGTGGACTTGATTGAAGTCCACAAAAAGGTGTTTTAGTGTTTTGTTGACAATGAATGCGGCTGCGAATTCATGATTAGTATTATGAGAGCTGTAATAAATAACATATTGCCTCTTTTGAAATGAAAACAATTATTGAAACAAAAAACTTGATTCCGACACATCAATTAGGCTTCAGAAATAACCACGCGACAATTGATCAAGAGCATACATTTACAAATATCATTGAAAAATCATTAGAAGAAAAGAAGGTAAGTTCTACTATATTTTTGGACGTTGCTCAAGCCTTCAATAAAGTATGACATGAAGGTTTGATATATAAGCTAGAAACATTTATGCCAAGCAATATTCGCAAATTTTAAAGTCCTATATATCTGAAAGACACTTAAGAATTAAACAAAAAAACAGTTATTCAGACATAAGAGAAATTAGAGCAGGAGTTCCGCAAGGTAGCGTGTTGATCCCGATCCTTTATTTGCTATACACACAATATAATAATGGACGAAATAATACAAGCAGTAGGGGAGACCGGAAATAGTTGACTAATAGCCTCTAGTTACTCTAATGTGTAACAGATGTCGAATGTAGACACAATATCTGAACTGCAAAGTTTTGCGCCTCCATTTTACAACATCGCTCTTATGATTTCTTTATGTTTTGTATTGGTAAGAACGAGAAATCTAGAATCATGCTTAGTAAGTAATTACTTTGGTTCCCAACATTTTCGTATTATTATGTATAAAATCGTTCGTCACAAATTACACTGAATATTTTTGAGAAGTAACATACATTGACTAAGATAATTTGACGTGATTTATACGACCCTCGAAATGATAGGGTGACGCATGGAGCTGTCGACTAAGCCGTGCCGGGGTTTATTGACTTAGTCAACAAACTCCATCATGTACTCAAATTTAAAAACTTGTGAACTAGGTTGACATTTTACAATGGATTAACAAGTTGATAGTGATATCGAGGCATTTGGAAACTATTAGCAACTGTTATATTGCATATGTTTTTACGCATAGGATATTTGGAACGTTGACGAAACGGCACGACATAGCTTCAAGCAAATAGTCAAACTCACGTCCACAGAAAGGGGAACCCTTGTAACTCTCACTGTTGCAGATTCAGCAAGTGGTAATAGTGTTCCTCCGTTCTTAATTTTTCGAGGATAAACTACAGGGATCACTTTACTAGAGATGCACCTGATGGAAGTCTAGGCGATGCAAAGCCATCAGGATGGATAAAAGAACAACATTTTGTGAAATTTATCAAGCATTTTCTGTTTCACACAAGATTTTTTAAGCAGCGCCTTATACTTTTGCTGCTCGACAACCTTAAACCTCACCTTTCTGTCTAGGCCTTAGATATTTGTAAGGAAAACGGAGTAACAGTTAAAAAGAATCAGAAGGGTTTTTTAACGTGATTTCCCCTACTGGGAGAATTTGTATAACCTTGGATGTCTATCTTGACCGGGCTAATACAGCGATAGGAAAAAACATCTTCGACTGACATAATTGCAACAATTTTCGACATTAATAATAAAACCCTTATTTACTGAATTATTGTCTAACATGATTTAGAAATAAGCCTTATACTGCTAAATTACAAATAACTAACAATATTGGACGGTAGTGTCAGTTGTCTTCAGACAAGTTATTGTCTACATAGTCTAGCCAACTTAAAGTATGAATATTAAAGACCGTGCTTAGAGCTGTGTATCGTATATAATTTTAACTGT